TTTCATACTGAATAATTAACATCTCTTAAAATTTCAGTGCAGGCAATATTATAGCGTCTGTATGCTGATTATTTCCATGCAAATTGTATTTGAAGTACAGGGCAGGAGTGGTTAGCTAGCATTTCAGTGCCTGCATCAGAAACTTCACGCTGAAACGGGTGGCAGGCAGTATACCACTACTGTCTACGTCAAAAACGGACTTGTTAATCTGAATCAAGCGTGGTAAATAATTTTTCGTTGGTAAATGTTATAGCGACTGGAAGGAGGATTACATGGCCCTTTGTTCTTTTTAATCAATGAGTCATGAACTTTATTTTTTAAGGGAATTTATTATTATTTTAGTTTTCCCCTTAACGAAGGCTCTGGGGTTGAACCCAGGACCTCATGCAAGCCAAGCACACGCTCTACTCCTGAGCTCTACGCCCACCCCCATTGCCCTTTGGTTCTTGCATAAACAAATCACAGGCTCTTAATCCCCTCTTCCAAGCCTTCAGGGCCAAGTTGAAAGGGAATATAATGCATGTACTATGTATTAATTAATAACCTGGAGAGATCTGGGGCATCACCTTACAAGCAAACAAATTAAAATCTCAGCCCAGAACACACTTGACTATTCACACTCAGTGGATAAATGAAATTATAAAGAGCCTTCAGCATCAAATTTTTTTCTGCCAAATAAGTTGTAAAAATATTTTTGAATTTTAGTGGTTTGTTTTTGCTTTTTTATTTTAGAATTAGAGGCTGTGGGCTAGCCAAGGCTCCATCCAGCCCAGGTGGCTTCACATCAGAATTCGGCTGCAAACTGTCGTGCAGGCGGCTCCTGGCGTGACTGAGGACAGAGAGGAAGGACTTCTTTGGGCATAAAAGATCAGAAAGCATGACTTTTAAATTTTACTTGCTAAATGTGCATGCATTTGGCAGGACTTGGCCCGAGGTTCGCAAGTTGGCCTGAGAGAGGCTGCACGGTCCCCGACTGCCTCCATTCCCTGGACGTCCACCAGATGCTCACCCAACGGCGGACGGCCACGCGGGCTCGGTCAGTGGGCTCAGGACAAGCGGTGAAGCTTCAAGCCCATTGAAGTGGGGAAGAGCGTGGGGTTTTTGGTCGCATCAGCTTGAACTTTACATTAAGCAATGGAAAACCTGTTAAGTGACCACACACTGAGACCAGCTTTTGCCAGGAGTTTTTAGAGCTGCTTGGATTTCAGAGTCTTGAACAGGGAATGACGGACTTGCACAGTTCTTATGACTTGATCCTTCTGTGATTTTGGGAGAGTAACTCCTTGGTGCCTCACGAGAGTGATTTATACCCTGGGGAAGGGTTCATCATGAGGGTTAACCCGGCTGGCGCCACGCACAAGGCTGTGAACGCACCAAGAATTTTCAAAGACGCAGGTTCACTTGAGCGTGGGCTACGGCGCTCAGATCTGCCTCATTTAAGCAAAGGAGGGCAGGGAATGGCGCGGAGGAAGATGGGTCACCGAAAAAACTCGAGGGAAGAGCTGAACCATCAGGATGGGTAGGATCTGGAGGAGCAAAGCGAAGTCAGATCTCGGCCACCGCCAGCACCGGGCTGCAGGTGGAACGGCCCCCCCCCCCCGTCACTCGTGCCCCAGGGCCACGCCCTGTACGGAGCGGCTCAGTACCCGTGCAGTCGGCTGCAACAGTGCTTCACAACCAGGGCAGGGGGGCCAGTGAGAGGGGTGAGTGCCATGTATGTACCCTGATGGCTAACAGGCTGATTTCGAATTTTGGCCCTGCCATTACGTGTGCGACTTTGGGCAAATGGCTCCACACCTCCGTCTCTGGGGCGGCTCTTAGCGGTGTTTTGCCGCCAGGGCCAGTCAGTGCAGAGGTGGCTCCCGTCCACTTCGAGGCACTTGGGCTGATCCCAGTGTTAACCTCGGCAGATTTCGAAACATCTAACTGCACAGGGTAAGTTTTCGTGTCGTTCTGCTGTATCCATAGCTACCCTTTGGAGGGAACACAGTTCTCAAAGGTAAACACAGCAACCGGAGAATGGCCAGCCAGCTCCACATCAGAGCCACTCCCAGCGAGGTGGTCTGTGGCGCCGGCTGGTTAACGTGTCCCTAGAGGCTCTCTGAGGGCACAGCTCGGTTTCCTTCCTTCCCTCCCCCTTTCCTTCCTTCCTTCCTTCCTTCCTTCCTTCCTTCCTTCCTTCCTTCCTCCAGTCCGCTCCACTGCCAAGGGCTGGGCGGGCTCACCAGTGCTGGGAACTTGGGGCTTAGAAACAGATTTCAGGGGTGTTTTAAGATAATGCTGATTCCCTCCTTTTGAATATTATTTACTTATCTCACCAAAAGAAAACAACCTGGATAAAGACATGTATTTAAATACCTGCTCTTATATATTTAAAAAAAACAAAAACAACTATGCTGCCAGACCAAAAAAAGGCAAGGTGTGTTCTGAAAATGCAAATTACGAAGGAGAGCCGTGGCCTACTTGAACCGATGAGAACTGTCAACAAGGAGGTTCAGGCCCGCAGTTTCTCAGTAGACTCTCCGCTGCCTTATGTCTCAACAGGGAACTTGAGTCTGGAGCTGGAGTATCATGTTTGATATTTCTCTGGATAAAGGCATTTGGAAGAAGAAAGGAAGAAAAATGCTGAATTCTCGAAGGACAGCATCTCCCTCTGCTTCCAAGGGCCCCACTGCCCGCCAGGCACCAGAGGACGGACAGACAGTCCACACTGCGTTTCCCGTTGCCTGACTTTGAAGTTGCTGGGCTAAGAGTGTGTCCTGCTCTCGCTGCAGAAGGTGGAGTGGGGCAGGGGAGGGGGGCTTCCTGTCCCTGGAAGCGGGCAGAGGAGGTGGGATAAGCCTATTGGCAACGTCCGTGACTTAAAACACGGACTGGAGGGCCGAGGCGCAAAGAAGTGTCGCCGGTGGGGAGCTGCACTTAAGGAACCCCTGTGATCCCACCATGGTGTGTCCTGTTTTCAGTGCTTTTCATCCAAGGAGCCCTTAATCAGGGGCAGCTGCAGGATCTGACATCCCGCCTTCCTACCCCACTGGGGCGGCTTTCTCTACGACTGTGTGACTGCCTTTCTCTAAAATAAGCAATCAGAGGTAATCCCCAACCCAGCCCGGCCCAGCTGCACCATTCAGCCCGCCCGATAAGAGTCGGGCTAAAACCGAGCTTCTCCCAGCAATCAAAGTAAATCTGAGGAATGTTTAAAGGTCCAGGAAGCATAAACTGTCAGACTTTGGCATGGGTGGTGATGGGGCAGGTCACTAAGAGACCAACAGGGTCCCTGAGGCTAAGAGATGACAGGGCTGTGGGATCTGTTTAAAGGCACTGGAGTGGTGGGTACCACGGGCAGGCCGGGAGGGAGATGGAGGGGCAGGGGGTCGAGGCCCCATCAGGGGGCCAGGCCTGGCCGCCTGTAGGGAGGTGACGATGTGGGGCCGAGAGGCTGAGCTGGGCAGACGGTGCTGTGACTCAGGCAGAGCCGGCCAGGCCAGGAGGAGCTGTCACCTGGGGGCCCCCGAGCACAGAGGCTGTCCTGTCCCTGCTGACTTGTTCTAAGGCAGCCCTGATCGGACAGTACCCCACAAGGAGAATGGCCAGCGCCAGAAGTAAACAGGAGGACTGGAGGCAGGGCCTGCCCCTTGCTGGGACGTGCCTCAGCTGCTGGAGCTCTCACGGAGCGTAGCCTAGAAGCTCAAGAACATTCCCTTTCCTTCAAGTGAGTCTGTAGATTATGTCACTTCTTTCTTTCTTCTTTTAACTTTTTTTTTTTGGCTGGGGAAGAAATTAGGTATTTATTTATTTACTTATTTATTTACTTGGAGGTACTGGGGATTGAACATAGGACCTCGTGCAGGCTAAGTACACGCTCCACCACCAGGCTACGCCCCCCCCATGTCACCTCCCTCTCAGTGCCCTTTGATGTGATCTGTGAAGACTGCAACTGTGTTGATGTCCTATCCTGCCCCGCTTTGGCCCTGTAATTCACGTGTGTGGACGCAGCTCAAAGACCCAGGGAGCCGGGCCACCCTCTCAGACGCCCTCCTGGGCCAGAGACTATGACATTAGGCCTCAGAGTACATTCTAATTGTGATATTTATTGTAGTAGTGGAAGATTTTGACTATGTTTATGAGAGGAAAACCAATTTGATTGTCACTGAGAAATTCTATAAAATAATTCCTGGCGTGAAAAGGGGGAGTTGAGGATTCTGAGCTCACAAGGGCCAGAGAAAAAGGCTAAAATTCCCCCAATCAGGTCTGTGTGCAGACCACATTTTACTTTCAGCAATACACCAAAGGCTACTGTCCTGCTCTGGAAAGAGCTTCTTTAATGACGTTGAGAAGGAGGGTGGTATAATCTACAACTTAAATTAAGAATTTAGAGCAACTGCGGGGAGGGCAGAGCTCAGTGGTGGAGCATGTGCTCAGCAGGCATGAGGTCCTCGGTTCAATCCCTAGTCCCTCCATTAAAATCAATCAATCAATCAACCTAATCCCCCTCCAAAAAAAGTGAAACAGAAAAAAAATTTTTTAAGAATATAGAGCAACTATGTTTCATTTAGTGAACATTAAACACGTCTCTTAAGTAACTAAGCACTTGAAATATTTCAGTGAGTATGAAGGTCTTAATATAATTATCTTAATTATTTTTCTGATGGGTCTAGGAATTTTTCTTTCAGTATGACTGGATCATGGAAGAAATAAATAAACTGACATAGAAA